AAAACAGAAATATAGAAACTTTTTTATTTTTTTGAGACGAGTCTTGCTCTGTGCCCAGGATGCAGTGCAGTTACACAATCTCAGATCACTGCAACCTCCGCCTCCCAGGTTCAAGGGATTCTCTTGCCTCAGCTTCCTGAGTAGCTTGGATTACAGGCATATGCCATCACACCCAGCTAATTTTTGTAAAAAGATTTTTCTTTTTTTAATTTACTGCAGAACTTTTTCTAAAGTCTCATAATGATGCAGAAATACACAAGTACGAGACTTGCTCTGACAGCTGACACGGAACTGACAGTAGCGACTCCCCAGTGAGGCTGGAAGGAGGGTGGAGGATGTGACAGGGAACGGAGATGCCTTATGGCCAAGGGTCTAAGCTTCAGCTTTGCTTGGTGTTTTACCACAAAATAAATACATTCACCATGTGATGTTTAAATATAAAAATATATATTTAATAATATTGTTGGGGCTGGGCACAGTGGCTTGCACCTGTAAACCCAGCCCTCCAGGAGGCTGAGGTGGGCAGATCACCTGAGGTGAGTAGTTTGAGACCAGCCTGGCCAACATGGTGATACCCGTCACTAATAAAAATATAACAAAATTAGCTGGGCATGGTGACACGTGCCTGTAATCCCAGCTACACGGGAGGCTGAGGCATGAGAATTACTTGGACCCGGAAGATGGAGGTTGCCTTGAGCCAAGATCATGCCACTGCACTTCAGCCTGGGCAACAGAGCAAGACTTCATATATTCGAAATATAATATTATCATAATATAATAATAATGATAATAATAAAAATTATCACCATTTTTACTGAAAACATCTGTTTTACAAGCCTCTCCACAGTAACACCACAGTCTCCATGAGCTTAATGTGCTAAGAATGGTTTAATGAATCTCCTGCTTTTAGGCTGATTTCATATTCTTAAAATAATGATGGAATAAAACATCATCTATCATTCATGTCTATGTATGAACTTTCCATTCTAATTAGTAAGATTTTTGGAGTCAGAAACACAGCAACTCACTCAATTACCTAAAAATGTAGTATAAAATCAGGCAGAAACATTTCTCCATATTGGTCGCCTTTTCTAGAATTTACCACATACTTTGTGCATATTAATACATGACTTCTGTTGCGAGAAGTCAGGGATCCCGAATGGAGGGACCGGCTGAAGCTGCGGCAGAAGAACATGAATTGTGAAGATTTCATGGACATTTATTAGTTCCCCAAATTAAAACTTTTATAATTTCTTACACCTGTCTTTACTGCAATCTCTGAACATAAACTGTGAAGATTTCATGGACATTTATCACTTCCCCAGTCAATACTCTTGTGATTTCCTATGCCTGTCTTTACTTTAATCTCTTTAATCCCATCATCTTCATAATCTGAGGATGTATGTTGCTTCAGGACCCTGTGATGATTGAGTTAACTACACTAATTGTTCCTAAACCATGTGTGTTTAAACAATATAAAATCTGGGCACCTTGAAAAGAAAACAGGATAATAGCGATGTTCAGGGAACAAGGGAGATAACCATTAGGTCTGAATGCCTGAGAGCCGGGTGGAACAGAGCCATATTTCTCTTCTTTCAAAAGCAAATAGGAGAAATATCGCTGAATTCTTTTGCTCAGCAAGGAACAGCTCTGAGAAAGAGAATGCGTTCCTAGGGGTAGGCCTCTAAAATGGCCGCTGTAGGAATGTCTGTCTTTTATGGTTGCAGATAAGGGATGAAGTAAACCCCGGTCACCCGTCTTGCTCCCAGGTCTATCAGGATGAGGAAATTCCCACCTAGTAAATTTTTAGTGAAAGTGGTTGTCTGCTCTCAAACCCTGTCTCCTGATAAGATGTTATCAATGACAATGCATGCCTGAAACTTCAATAGCAATTTTAATTTCACCCTGGTCCTGTGATCTCACCCTGCCTCCATTTGCCTTGTAATATTTGATTACCTTGTGAAGCATTTGATCTCTGTGACGCATATCCTATTCGTACACTCCCTCCCCTTTGAAAATCACTAATAAAAACTTGCTGGTTTTGCAGCTTGGGGGGCATCACAGAACCTGCCGACATGTGATGTGTCTCCCAGACACACAGCTTTAAAATTTCTCTCTTTGCACTCTTTCCCTTTATTTCTCAGACTGGCCGACACTTAAGGAAAATAGAAAAGAACCCACGTTGAAATATCGGGGGCCAGGTTCCCCTGATAGACTTCCATCAGCAGTTGCTCTAATCCTGGTCCACAGAGAGGTGACAGAGCATCCAGATGTGGCCCCTGAACAATCCCTGCTGCCCAACAGCACTGACACCACGGGGTCCTCACCCCGTCTCCATCCATGTCTGGGTGTGAGCCCTTCCCAGGCCCATGCCCAGTGCAGCCTCTTCCCAACTTCATGTCACTGGGTCACAAGAGATAAAATCTAAGCGCGATGAGAGGGACTGAGGGAAGGCATGGGTGAATGCGAGCAAACTTGTCAGGCAGGACGCTTCAGACTCAGAGAAGATTCCCAACTCCAAGACCCAGCAGCATTTCTGAAAGGAAGGAGACAGAACAATCCACCGAGAATATCATCTCACCTGAGGAAGAGCCATCCCTGACTCCTTTGCTTTCCTCTTCCTCTTCTGGGTTTCTTCCTCATGTATCAAGAGTGTTTAGAAGTCAATCCTGAAAGTTAAAAATACGTTGTTTATTGCTCAGAATCAACACATCCGCCTCCCTGTAACACAATGAAACATACAAAGGAGACCTCACCCTGAGGAAATGTGGTCCCTTCTACTGTCCACTGCAGAAGGGACAATAAACTCCTATAGGAAAACTCCCACTTCTCTCCTGGAGGAGCCCACACACACGCTCCTGCAGTGGGGAGCTGGGCTGGAATGAGCTCCCCTTCAGGGTACAGACCCAGCCCTGACCAATCCTCAGCCCAGACCCTGAGGATCACTTGGGCTCAGGAGTCCAAGACCAGTCTGGCCAACACGGTGATATCCTGTCTCTACTAAAAATAGAAAAACTGAGCAGGCATGGTGGCTCATGTCTGTAGTACTAGCACTCTGGAAGGCCGAGGAGGGTGGATTACTTGAGGTCAGAAGTTCAAGACCAGCCTGGCCAACATGGTGAAACCCCATCTCTACTAAATATAAAAAAAGTAAGTGGGCTTGGTGGGTGTCTGTAATCCCAGCTACTCAGAAGGCAGAGGCAGGAGAATCGCTTGAACCCAGGAGGTGGCAGTTGCACTGAACCAAGATCATGCCACTGAACTTCAGCCTGGGTGATAGCGTGAGACTCAAAAATAAAATAAAATAAAACAAAAATAAAAATACAATAATTAGCTGGGTGTGGTGGCACACACCTGCAATCTCAGCTACATGGGTTGCTGAGGCACAAGAATCACTTGAACCCAGGAAATGGAGGTCGCAGTGAGCCAAGATCATCAGACTGCACTCACAGCCTGGACAGCAGAGACTCTGTCTCAAAAAAAAAAAAAAAAAAAAAGTTTCTGATGTGATTGATGCAGAAATAATAAAACCTGAGTAACGTGATAGAGACTGATGGGCAGAGGGAACTTCAGATAGTGGTGGGAGGGCATGGGAGACAGCTCTGAGCCTAGACCTGAACGAGGAGAAAAGGGACAGTGCTGTGATCATTTAGGGACATAGGGTAAGAGCAGGGACAGTGACCAGAGACAGGAAGGGTTTTGACATTTGGGAAAAGAGAAAAGCAAATGTGACAGGGACAGAGGGAGTCAGGAGAGGAGGGCAAGCTCCCAGGAGGAGGCTGGACACTGGCAGGGGCCCTGGACACAGGGCTGTGGAGCCAAAGTGAGGAACTGGACTTTTGTCCTGGGGAACACGGGAAGCCGGTGGAGGGTTCCCTGCCAGGGACTGACATGACCTGCTTTAGATTTCGCTGTGATATCCTCATACAGAGAAATGCCCCGAAGATGGTCTCTGTGTCTGAGTCTACACCTCTGTTTCTTCCATTCCTGTGTTTTTTTTCTATTTTTTTTTTTTATTTGGGGTACTGCATCCCATTTAAATTTCTAATTACAACTGGTCACTCCCCTGTCTAGGAAGAAAAACCACACCCAGACACACACTCTCACACGCTATTTTCCCAAGATTGCAGGGCTCGGGTCACTAACGTGAGCCCTTTCCTGGCTCGCCTCCTACCGTCATCTCCAAGTTGCAGGCGAGGCTCACTGGGGCCTCTCGAGAAAGCGAGATATTTTTCACAACGTTACACCCGAGAAGGTCTGAGATGGTGAAAACCGTGTGCCTGATTCTACACGGGG